CCCCCCCCCCCCAAAATATATTTAAAAACATTTTTGAAAATAACGATTAAGATGTGTACTATTACATGTAAGGTGTAAGGAAAATTTTACTTGGTCACACCACATGAAATCAAATGTATATTTTTGCTGAAAATTCTATGGAAAATTTTCAAAACTATATTAAACCAACATGTATACAAACAGTTTTAAGAACTCAGCACATTTTAAATTAGATTTTGAAAAGATTCTCCCTTTTCTTATCAAGGATCCTCTTATTTATCATCGAAAACGAATACAATTTAAAGTTATTCTACTAAAAAAACTAAAAAGGCTGGCTAAATCTCCACAAACCCAGAAAATAACAAACAGAACCTGAAATCAGGCAATGCCGACATCTTCCACACCTAGGTGGGCCAGTCAAACTTGCAGGAAGCCAAACAATCAGGTATGTAGTCAGGCAAGAAGGGTGACCCAGATTTAGGTGTTCATTCGGGCCCTCCCCTCAGGCAAGGACTCGTCTTTTAACCAAAGCCAGAGAAACTCCGACATGCATGTTTTTACAGCTGTGGCAGGAGGCTGCTGAGGCTTTACTTCCCAATTTTACTACGCAGTCTATCCATTGAGCCTCCCGCTAACATTAAAACACGCACAGAGCTTGCATGCCAGTTAACACGTCTCGAAGATAAAGCAATGTCACACAAACGGCTGCCATAACCAATAGATAACTAGCGGTATTCTGTATTCTTTCCAAAACACATCCATGAAGTTCTGCTATATCTTATCGCTGGATCCTAGATTAAACACTGCTATAAATTTACTGTCATTTCTCTCTGAAGACAAGCAAAAAATGTGTGAAAAGAGAGTTGAATTTAAGCAAGTGACCCAGAGATCAACCTAAACCCTGTTTGAAAGAATATTAGATTTTATCCGCCTTTTATCAACAACAAGATGATTCACATATTCGGCATTATAAACAGCTTTACATATTACCACTGCTCTCCGTTATTGTCAAACAAAAAAATGAATAAAACATTGCTGATATTACAATCTCTCATATACTTGGAATATTACATCAGGTCAGCATAACAGAACAGTCGTGTGGCTCACCGACCCTGGGTCTGTGTCGGGTGTTGTCACAACAGCCCAGACAATATCACATACTCCCAGGCAGAAGATTAGTCTCCATAGTTAATCACCACCATCTTTTGATCTCATTGCGCTCTGCTGAGAAAACACTGTGTTGTTTCTTCTTCCAGGGTTCCTTGAAGGTTCCCTTTAACTCCAGCGAGGAGGCCCCTGCCGTACTTTGACACATTAATGATTAGTCTAAATTTTCCAGACGTGACCTCTGCTTCAATCCCTCCATCACGGCTTGATAGCAGAAAGGAAGGGAACATGCTTCTCCTCCGACTCCCAAACTTCCCTCATAACACACATAAACACACACACACAGGAGACGCCACCCACGACACAAACGGCTCGGAAAGACTCGCTGCTCCACATTGCAGCGGCAGCCAGTCAGACGACAGTCTTATCACACACACACACGCCAAGCTTATGTCTTCTGGCTTCCATCCAGCCCTGTCACAACAGACTCACTCAAATGTCACACACAGGAAGTCGACATGAGACTTGAATCTGGCAGTTCAATTTGGGAACATGCTAATTAATTTCATTCATTGAAAGTGAAGTTGGTATGTTTGGAAGTCTCACCTTGCTGAAAAGGACTGGTTGAGGAGGGAGCTGTGGATGACGTCGCTGTGGTGACCACAGGGCCGTGGGGTTTGCCCGGTGCTGACTTGCGGCCCCTGGAGCCAGAGATTGAGCTGGTGCTGTGATTGCTGGACTTCTTGCTTTTGCCATCTGAGCTCTTGCCATCAGAGGAGCTGCCATCCTTGGAGCTGGAACTGGAGTGAGACGGAACTTCCTGGAAGTTGGCATTAGTGAAACGACCTCCGCTGTCGTCCAGTCGCTTCTGAGTGGAGGAAATGGAGGAGACAATTCCGCCACTGCTGCTGTTGTAGCTCTGTGGCCAAGAAGGGAAATGCACATATGGACGAAAATGCTTGTACTTTTTGTAAAATACTCAAAAAACAAGTAATGACAAAAATTAATAAATTAATAAAATACAAAACTAAATAATAAAATAAAATATTAAAAGATAATTTTATTTATTTTATTTACTTTAACCTTCATATATACAAAAAAAGAGCTGGGTAGTAGCTGATTACATGTAATCCGGATTATGTAATAAGATTCCAAAAATTAAGTACTTGTAATTGGATTAAATTACATTTTAAAATACTCTGAATCAAGACTAGTTACTTTTTTATTTATTACATGATTACATATTATTCCCACAATAGCAATACATTATTCATAATTTATTGATTCTCCCTAATTCCTCTTTTTCATCTTATAAATGTTCCTTTCTAAAATAGCCGACTGCTTACATACACTCAGAATGTCTTCCAGTTTTGTGGACATTCACACAAAGACCAGTCAATACAGTCAGCTGGCTACACAGCATTTGATCACTGGACTTACAAAAATCGAAAAAAAGAAGTGTTTCAACTTTGCATCAACTACTGATGAACACATTAATTATTAAAGGTTATTTAACCATGTATTATTGTGTCTTTGGAAGGCTTTTGTCTTTCAAACACATTAAAAAGCACAAATTCATGTTATTTCTTATTTAGCCTACATGTAATGCAGCCATTCCTTTTTTTGTCAGCTAAACCGTTTTCACCTAATATATTTACTTGAAGTTCCCCAGAAGATAAATATTTTAATAATTATCACATTTGCATGTTCACGGTTCTTTGACGTGGTTAATGGTCACATGACATGCAGATAAACAAATTTTTCAATAAGCATTTTATTTTGATTGTTGTTATTCTTTTAAATAATTTATGATTTATTAAAACGATTTATTATAATTTTAAATTTTTATGATTTAATTAATTGTTAGCTTTTCATTAAACTCACGAACCCCCTGCAGTTCCTTTACAAAGCCCAGTTTGGGAAACCTTGATGTAATGTTTAATTCACTTCATGATGTTAATAACAAAGAATGGAATACATTTTCTTCCTCTGTATTTTTATATCAATATGGTACAAGATTATCAGTCAATACAGTCAGCTGGCTACACAGCATTTGATCACTGGACTTACAAAAATCGAAAAAAAGAAGTGTTTCAACTTTGCATCAACTACTGATGAACACATTAATTATTAAAGGTTATTTAACCATGTATTATTGTGTCTTTGGAAGGCTTTTGTCTTTCAAACACATTAAAAAGCACAAATTCATGTTATTTCTTATTTAGCCTACATGTAATGCAGCCATTCCTTTTTTTGTCAGCTAAACCGTTTTCACCTAATATATTTACTTGAAGTTCCCCAGAAGATTTTAAAATAAATATTTTAATAATTATCACATTTGCATGTTCACGGTTCTTTGACGTGGTTAATGGTCACATGACATGCAGATAAACAAATTTTTCAATAAGCATTTTATTTTGATTGTTGTTATTCTTTTAAATAATTTATGATTTATTAAAACGATTTATTATAATTTTAAATTTTTATGATTTAATTAATTGTTAGCTTTTCATTAAACTCACGAACCCCCTGCAGTTCCTTTACAAAGCCCAGTTTGGGAAACCTTGATGTAATGTTTAATTCACTTCATGATGTTAATAACAAAGAATGGAATACATTTTCTTCCTCTGTATTTTTATATCAATATGGTACAAGATTATCCTATTCAAATCAATGTGATAAACAAGTTAGGTCAAAAGTAATCTGATTATATTACCTAAAATGTGTAATGTAGTGGATTACGATACTAACTAAAATTTTTGTCATGTAATTTGGAATCAGTAACGGATTACAATTTAAGTAATCTACCCAGCTCTGTATATGTCTATATGTCTACATAAATATCTACATATATATATATACATATATATATATATATATATATATACACATATATACACATTAGGGATGTGCATCTCCATAACTGAGGCAGATGCGATACGCATCTCGATGCATAGCCAACGATACGATACATTGAAGATACATATGAA